GCTCAAGCTCAAGCAAAAAAGCACTGAGAAAACAACTATTAGTCTAACAGACTTAAAACAGGGAAGCATGGACATGTTAACACTAGCAAATCTGGCAACTCGGGAGTTCTGAGTGCAAAATGGCACAGGTTCAAGCCCTGTCATAAAATCAAGTAATGACAGAAACTAAGGGAAGCAGTAATCAATGCGTTGTTGTGATTATAGTACTGTTGTGGAATCAATCTTAATAAAAATTTCCCAAAAAGTGCTCTTTAAAGAAAACAAACTGTGTCTGCTCACAAGAGTATTTATGTAACTATATGAAAATAATACATTTTGTAAACGTAATTTGCATTATTTGTAAATATTTATTGTTGTTAGATGATTGGGATGAATGCCATTGTGTGTCCACTGTAGTTGGTGACACCAAGCTGATATCTCTGTTAAGTTTCATAACTGATAATGATGTAGTAACAGTCAGATTGTTTGCGACACATTGTTTTGTTTTTTAATGGCAACAGTAACAACCAATAGAAATAAACTCAGTATCTGTTATTTTTCATTAGTGCTGAGCCCTATGGTCAAAGTCCTTAGTTCTTGATGGAAAGATATTCATAAGAACTGAAGAGGTGTTATTTCAAATAAATGTTGTTATTAATGTTGATCATTCTGTTCAATGTATTTCTACAAATAATTTTAAAAAGTAGCTGGCTTCAGTTGGTATAAAGGTTGCACAGTATACAGTATCATTACTTGGCAAATGGATTTTAGCTGACCAGCTTCCAACCTTGAGGGCTCATGACAAATGGAAGAGTAACAGTTTTTTGGGGGTTGAGGGGGTGGGTGGGTGTGGGGGGGGGGGGTGGTTGTCACATGCTGTATGGGGAGGGGGGTAATTAAATATTTCTAGCATTTTGGGAAAAGGGGTGGAGTAGCTTGACCATCCAGTCTCTTGCTTAGGCCTAGCAGCTTTCCCTTTTGTCAATAACATTTCTAGCGGAGCTCCAGCGGCTCAAAGGGCCGCCAAGTGGAGCTCCATACTCATATAGGAAAGAAAAGGAAACTCATGAGTTGATTTTCTCATGGTTATCATGGCTAGCGGTATTGCTCGTGGGTGCGTACGCATGACTATGACGACGACAGAGTCACGCAACATGGCTGCCGTACTTCAAATAATAGGTTGACAGAGAGAGGCAGCCTTGGTTTACCGTGTACTTCTTTGATATTGGACATTCATGTTATCATCAATTGACACCTGTCAAAACAAGGTGTCCGCTGACCAGTATCACGTGACTATATGGTGGACTCAAGTTTACAGGTCATCAAGGTCACGTGGTTTTTTGAAGTTGACCGCTGAGCAGGTGCTGGTCTTTGATTGGATTGCGGACTCATGTCAGCTTAACTTGTTGAAAACAAGGCAGGATTGTTCGAGAGCCAGTTAACGTTAACCCAGGATTAAAAGTTAACCAAATCATAACTTTTTCTACTATACAAAGGTTTTTTGCTACTTTGTTTTGTGTATATGGTGATTATTAAAACTCAAAACAGATGGGCAAACAATATACAGAAAACCTCACCGCAAAGTTATACGAAATCAAAATTCTACCTTTTCCTGGGTTAGCTTAATTGGGCTCTGAACAACCTGGCCCAGGAGCTATGCTTTTAGGCTGGCCTAAATCTATACAATGTATATTAGTTTTACGAGGTTATGATTTAGGGATGGGCCATGCATAAATTCATGGAGTGGGGATTATACACAAAAAGGGCAAGGGAAATGGACCTTTTCAGCCATATGGCAGCCATTTCGAATTATATTGTTTCAAATAGCTATTATGGGATGCTTAGGGGGCAAATACATACTAATTTGCCCCCTGAGCAAGTTATCATCCTATTGCCGAAAAGGTCCGTTCATTCATGAAAAAAAAAAGGCATTGAAGGGTGGTGAACATACTTTTACCATCAAGAGAAATGGCAACAAACTCATGTCCGAGACCCTATTATGGAAAAAAAATTTGCATGCAGTTTAAGAACTCCCCACACCCTATCTCAACATTTCTAATTGTTAAACTCAAGTTTAAGGTCAGGTCAATCCAGATGTTAAATTGGGAAATTCCTGTGTGTAGAATGAAGTGTTGTGTGACACCTGACGTTTGACTTCTTGAACTAATCAAACAATAACACTCCAATATATCTGGCCAATCATTGCACACAGAATCCAAACAGTTTTCAAGATATTTTGTGAGCCTATAGCAAGCAAGGGATATTGCCAAGAATTGCAAAGACCAAATGGACATATATTTATTACATAAAATTTTGTGGTATACCGAGTGGTAGCAAATTGTTAAAAACAATATCCCACAATGTGAGGATGTCATTTTTATCCACACGTGATATCATTCTTGTCCCTTAACTGCACATAAATGTTGGTGTATGATCAAAAAGTCTTTGGATCTTCTTCAGAAGTCTTCGACAATATTTGGTGATCTTTGGAAATTTTCGAACAATGTTCGGAAACGTTTGTCTGGCCTTCAGAAAACTTTTGGAGAATCTTCGGAAATCTTCGGAAAATTGCCAAAAACGTTGTTATACATTATCAGAATATTACATAATGAAAACAAGCACATGGTTGTTTGGATATTTCATATCTCCGTGCAGCCATGTAATATCCTCTATATCAGTCCTTTTGAACTATAATGCGAGCAAGACAAGTTACATGCACGAGACACAACAAACAGGAAAATACAATGTATTTTCTTATTATCTGATTTTATTATCACTATTACTCATCCTAACAAAAGCGTAACTATTTACTTTTAACATTATTTTCTTGAAAAATATCAAGTTACAGATTGTAACTAAAATGCAACGGTTCCAAAAAAATTAAAAGAAAAATTAAACACAAAATATTGTACATGCATCTGTACATTCGTATACATTTTAATTTTTGCTTCATTGAACAAGACATCTTATATAATTATTTGAAAAGAACTCCTTAGGTTAAATATATCAATTCTATTTTTTGAAAATTTGAATTTACAGAAAAAAATTGAAAGTATCTTTCAGAGTTTGTAAAGCATTCTTTTGAATAGTATCTCAAGTCAAGTGTTTGTACACAACAATAATAATTTTTTTCCAGTGTGAGCTGGCTGGCAGGCAACGTGGAACAAGGCTATTGAATGCGGCATATCGAAATTACAGCTACCTCTGGAAGAATGCAAATGTGCTGGCAACATAAGCTTTACCATGCTATAAGATTGAGACAAATTTCCTAGCAATTCATAGTCTCAAGGTTGAGATGTTGGCTACACCAGTGGCCCTTTGTCAAAATAACTTAAGTAAAGATCCTCCTAACTTTCTAATTTAGCTCCCTTTTCCTACTGCACCTTTAGAGGTTTAGAACTGTCATGCTTTATGTCATAAAATCTGAGCTAAACCAGTTTACTATAATGCATGTATACATTGCAGTGTTTGATGAGCATGAGTATAGTATGAAAACAACCGGGCTTTGCTAGTTTCAAGGAGAGGACACGGATAAATCTCACAGAGAAAAATGTAAATCACATTCATTCCATGAAGAACCTTCTGTAAGAAAGATAAAAAGCAATGTCAATCAATCTTTCGATGCATCAAGCATTATTCTCAAGATTGAGGTCGTTAATGTCATGTCACATTTTTAATGATGCATTGAAACGTTGATTGACATTACTTTTAATCTTTCTTGCCAAATGCTTTAACAAGCAACTCCTTTTCTGATCTCTTAAACCTGCTGTATGCAAGTCCTGAAAAACTGTTACAAAACGACTCTTGAGCATTGCTCAACAAAATGATCTGGTCAGTTATATCTTCTCTCTGAACATCAACGCAAACATTTTCTTAAATCTTACCACTCAATTAAAATCATGGAATAAAATTTGTTTGGACTCTATGATAATTTATCTTCAATAAGAAATAAATCATGGAAGAAACATTTGTTTGCAAATTAGGACAATTTATTGTTACAGTCAAACCAAGTGAAGCGTACCCCTCAAGATTACATTAATTAATTGATTATTTGAATATTGAACTCACTAGTCATTTCAAAAATCAATATTAAATTGAGTTTTTTTGAACATGAAACCCATTAGCTGTATTCTTGGAATGACTAGTGGGTTCAATTTTCCAATAATCAATTTATTATGGCATTCTTGAAATGACTAGCGGGTTCAATATTCAAATAATCACTTCATTAATGTAATCTTGAGGGGTATGCTTCACTTGGTTTGACTGTAACAAGCCACGATATTTTTCCTAGCATGCTTATTTAGTTCCTTTGTTGTGTATCAAGTACATAATAATTATGATCCCTACTTTTCATTAACAATAATTTTTGTTATGACTTGCGATGAGTGCTGACTGGGAGGAAGGCTCTTGCAAAAAGGAGAACCTCACTACAGTTTTAAATACATACAAGTCTGCCTGCGTACAATACACTGCTATGGACTGTAACCGTGAATCATGGAGGTTTTAACAAGGAGTGGACTTTTGGCACCAAGAGAGAGCCCCTAACTCAAATGCGCTATGAGATAGTTTAAGTCTTTACAAAATGATTGTTTACTTGGCTAAATGTCTAATCTTGATGCAATTTTCAATTTTCAAGCTATGCAACAACTGCATGTCCAAAAATATGAACTTGGCAAAATATCAGTTTGGCACTTTTGACACACCAGTGTAACTTTCTCAAAATGTGGGACTCTGCTGCACCATGCTTCTTCCCATTCCCACACAATTCCAGGGTCATCCAATGTACAGCTAGCCTGTGAACGCAGATGTATTTCTGGCTGTCACTTGGTTCCGCCGAAAAATGACATCTGCGAACCCGAGCCAGGAAAAGATTTCTGTGACGTAATGACTTTTGTTTCTCCTTGACCAATCAGATTCAATGACAGAATGAAACTCGAGTGCTCCTCGCAGCGAATACCTCGCCCAGTAGTTCTGAGGTTATTTGAGCTAAACTGTGATTGGCTTAGAATTCCTACGTCACAGAAATCGTTTTCTGGCTTGGGTTCACAGACGTTATTTTTCGGCGGAACCAAGTGACAGCGGAAATACATCTCCGTTCATAGGCTAATGTACAGCAGAAACAATAATTATCTAGAAATCTCAACCAGGCAATGCATAGCCAGCTAAATTTGTGGCTCAATACATTAGTATATACCATAGCCCTTTTGTCTGCTTATCATCAACTTTCGAACAGAACATCTTGACACCTAATGAGGTTTTCTACGACTAGTCTCTGGCACTTCATGTCATTCAGAATATCTATAGAATCAGATTCTGGTGCTCTCATAAGAGTTGGTCCAAAGACAATGGACAGATTTTCCTCATTCATCATGTTCTCCGTTTTCTTTTTGGCCACTCTGTTAGTAGCAAAAAGAGAAAAGTATAATTATTGGTAAACATACATTTGAAACTTTTAATTTTCTCTTAGAAAGGTAATCAACACGTGACTGAGTGACAAAACGTATATAAATAAGAGTCAACAAGGTTGTGAAGGTGTTGTGGCTTTGTGGTTGGTGTGCCGGACTTGGGAATGAGCTGTCCAGGTTCGAGCCCTGGTCAGGGACATTGTGTTGTGTTCTTGGGCAAGTCACTTTACTCTCATGGTGCCTCTCTCTACCCAGGTGTATAAATGGGTATCAGTGAATTTAATGCTGGGGGTAACCCTGCGATGAACCAGCATCCCATCCAGTGGGAAGTAAAAATATTCCAAGTCGCTTCATGCCACCAAAACTGAGAAAAGCTCTGGCCTCATGGGCCACTTAGCTTGTATGCAGACTTAACCTTACCAACAAGGTTGAAAGGGTTAGATTGTACTATGATATCTTGCAAAGTAAGGCCATTTTTGAGATGTAATGTACAGTCATATCGTGGACAAAAAGGATGGTAAGGTTTGAAAAAGACCAATGCGAAGATGGTTTTCAAAACATCCCCTGGTCACAAAGAAGTCAAAATATCTATAAACAAGACATTTGATTATTACCTGGGACATTTCCCTATTTCCGGGTGTTGCAAGTGGCAGAGTATCCAAACATTATTTTGTTCTCGTAGTTATTTCACCTCCTGGTGATCGCTTATGGATCCAATGAATAAATCCATATAGTATATGGATTCTAATACTATCTGTCTACGAATAGTTTTCATTTGTTGTTTGTTATTAAATTTAAGACTCGTAAGTTTTTAATTCTTCAATGACAAGTACATTGTATTTTAGCATTGTGCACTTAAGAACTGTAAATGTTGAAATAGGATATGACTGTAATACAGTCGATCCTCTATTAAGCGGCCACCCTCGGAGGAATGGGAGATGGCCGTTTAATAGACCTTTCCCGCATTCCACTTAAGTGTGTTCGAACAATAGCTCCAGAGCGAGGTTGGGGTGGACATTTCATACATTTGCTGTATTTTTGTCCACCCTGACCTTGACTCGGTGCCATTGTTTGTTGGAATGTGGGAAAGGTCTATAGGAATTCGTCAGGAATTAGAACGAGGTGTCATGGGTCGAAACTCACTTACTCCCTAAGGCGAACTAAACTCACTAACTCCCTTTCGAAACAACTTGAACGTTCGACTCGCGCGTGATGAGGTCTCGCACCTTGAAACCGCGGCAAATTTGTTGTCAAGCAAACATTTTTCGCAGTTTGTTTATTTTTTTTGCGGTTTGTTCTAAATGACTGGCCCCACGGGAAACAGGGGGTTTTGTTTCCCGGCTCTCAACACTCACTGTTCAAGCCGGCCATACATCTGCTCTATTTTATTTTACGGACGAAAAATTCACCCCCGTTGACGGAGGTAAAATAACGCGACAATGGAAATCTACCTTAAGTCTATTAAATTTTTGTTTCGCCACATAGAACTAACGACAATACAAAACCCTCATCAGGACGACCTAAAGCCGGTGGCTGAATTGGAGTCTGAATTGGCGTTTTATTTACAGTATTTTACTGATCAAAACTTCCCAACCTTAATACCTGATAGCTTAACAGGGGTCAGGGAAATTTTTACACAATGTTGAGACCAAGGATAAAAACACATGCAAACAAAACAACATACAAACTAATGTTGGTACACGTTTTCATTATGATTTTAAAAATTTTGTGCAGTGTGATTTTCTGGATGAGCCCGGGGACGGGGCATTTGCCCTCCTTTTACTTTTCCCTTATTTGATCCCACACGACAAATTTGCCTTTTTTTAAAAAAAAATCGCGTATTGAAAAATCGCTTATTGAACCGGGGGTAGGAGGGCACCGCTGGAATTGACTGATGCATTATTTTTCTTCCTGCTTTTCGTGCATTTTACGCCAATAGTCAAACATTCTTTGCAACTCTTATTTGACGGCTATGCTCTCGGCCAACCCTTCCTCATTGCTATCAATATAACGAAATGTTGTTTCACCAAGGAGATTTCCTTCCTGCGTCGTGACCACCACTGGAACAGTTCCCGGTGTTGCTGCACCTAAAATCAGAGTATTTAAAAATATGCTAACATCTTTATACAAATCTGGGGATGGGAGATTTAGGACAGTTATTTGAGTTTCACAAACTAAGTCCGTGAAACTCGAGTAACTGTTTTAAACTTGTATATTTTTCATCGACTTCGCAAAGCAACATATATCTTGTTCCTTTGTTTAACATCTTTATATCAACGTTTCTCTATAAATATGAATTAGTCTGATCGAAACGCCTTCTAGATTCTCATTTCGAGCCATGAAAACCTTAATATTAATAATTTCATGAATACGTAAAAGAGACGCAGATCGTTTTAAACAATTGTAGTTTAAGGTTTGGTTACTCAAAATGTCCAGTCTCATTAAAGCCATACACAAAGCGCAAATGAAGCCGAGCAACTCAATTCTGCATTTGCCGGCTCTTGATTTTTCTCGAATTATTTCAAAACACACTTCAGTCACAGTGTTACAACCCAACTTTGCTTGTTCTGGGAGAATATCAATCGATCCTCAGTCTCCCTCGTTCAGACCGCGCATATTTGTCCGAGGAATTAGCATTCGCCCTTGGTTAGAATTGTATCTATACAGCTTGCTATTCATACCAGTGTAGCCAAACAATTAAGCAAAAGAGGGACGACTGAGGGGGCAAAGCGACACAAACTAAGCAGGCAAAAGTAGCTAGCTGCTTTAATGTGTCAGGTTTTCTGGCCGAAAACAGGGGCAGCCTGCACAACAATCGCTTGTATACGTAGTAAATACAACACGTAAAACGATGTCTTGTGGAAGAATTTACACATTTAAGTCCGAGGGATATTACTTGGATTACTTAATCCAAAACAGCAAGATACTCACCCGGAATACTTTCCCCTGCAAAGAAAGTTGGCTCACGTCTATTCAGCTGACACCTGACAGCAAATGTGGCAAAAACTGATGTCACTGCTCTCGGGGGCAATGTTTCAAACTCAAGGAGAAATGGTGTTCCGCCCTGTTTAAGCAATGGTTAAAAGTGGTATGCACTAAACGATGTGTAAAAATGTTTAAGAAAGAAATACCCTTAACGCTCTCTTACTGCTCCCCTGCCCCCGCCGACACGCCCTGCTCTTTTCAAGTCCTTTTGGGTAGCATCTCTACACCATTACTATTGAAGAGGGCTTAATAAAGAGGAGATGCTTATTTCAATTCTTAATTAATTTACACTTAACGTTCATGAAGTAGATGTGGATGAAGTTAAATGTTAATCAAATGATTACAAACACCTCTCTACAACAAAGTAACGAGAAGATAAATGAGGCAGACAAAAAACATTTCAGCCTCCTCATGGTTCATTTTAAACCTCTTCAGTTTTCCTTTTCAGCAGTTGTCTAAGGTTACCATCCTAACAAGGAAGGGTCTGCCACACCTTATTTGAAAATTGAAGCTATGATTGTAAAGGGCGGGCCTAACGGATTTCGCGGTATGAAAGTTTCGAATGATGAAAAAACAAAATGTTCAGCAACCATATTCAGGATATTTTCCGGGATTACATTACATTCCAAACTCACTACAGTTAAGAAATTAAAATTGCTTGAGTGTGAAATTAACACTGATTCATATTTAAAATGTCAGATTAATTGCTTTGTACTTTTCCAACGAAGTGCTTACGCATCTTTTACTGTTATTTCGTTATTATTCTTTAAGGGTAAACCTTAATGTAATACAAGTGGCAATTTTAAAAGCAATACCTCCAAAGGGCCTTCGCATGGTACAATTTTTATACCTCCTCCTTTCATTTCTCCAAAGCCTTGGATTAGAGCAATACATATGGACCAATAAGCAGACTATAAATTTCTCAGCAACAAAAAATAAATTTTACATTATCCTATTCATTGTTTTACGTTTCCTCCGATCTATAACTAGATTAATAACTTATCTTTTTTACTCGTTAAGGGATCTTTCAGAGGAACACTTTTAAAAAAGCACGTTCAAATGGCTAATTCCCTCTTGAGACGTGCCTGCAGGGAACCATGGTAGTTGTATTCATTAAAACAACTATCCAGTCCAAGATGATAAATACAACTACCACGAGTCCTTGCAGGCGTGTCTCATAGAAGAAATTAGCTATTTGTTGTCCGTGTTGTTTAGATCGATCAGTTATGATGTCTTAAAAAATCTCCTCGTAGATGAAAGCACTCTGTTTTAGAGTTTCCTTCGTCGTTGAAGTGATTGTTGCCGTTACTAGTCAGTCGGTTTAGAATGTTGTCATCATAGGGCTTAAATACAGCTTGATTCACGTTTAAGTTTTGCATGCGTCAATCAACAACAAACAACCTGATCCGATCCCAGAAGACTCGCCAGCTTTCCCGAACACCGCTTCTTTCTTCGTTACTCTTCTGAAAATAAAATCCGATATTTATAACTGATTCAAAACATCCTAGGTCAAAACAACTAGCCTCTAGACTAGATAAAAACAACACAAAATGAAGGAGAGAGGGGATCGGTGCTCCGTTCCCATGACCGCACGGTATCCCCTCTGACCACGACTTTTGCATGATTTTTTTGTGTCAAAAAAATTTGATTTGTTAGCAGTGATGTTCGTATTGCTCACTGCGTTTTCTTTTCCTTTTGAATGTGTTGTGATGTACGAGAAAATCAAAACACCTGCCAACTATAACAATGCGTGAAGTAATTCTAACTTACCAATCAAATGTTGACGTTAAGGCCCCGTTCACAATACGCTAGAGGAATTTGAAAACGCAGCAATCACTGGTCACTTTGGATTTGTTTTTGAGGAAAATTTGAACAGGGAAAACACATGGTTGTCNAATTGATCAGTCTACCCCAGCTACAGTCAGAACTTCGTCCTCCATAGACCTCGGAAATCTCTGAAAAACTTCCTTAATTCTAGACTCTAGCATTTCAAATGGATTTGGTGTAAATTCTTTGCCATGGGAAAAAGATCAAGCAATATATCACGACCAACTTCCAGTCCTGTTTTTCCTTGCAAATTTCCATGTATACAAATGTATGTGGAATGAAAGATATCTGCGTTATTGATATTTTAGCCAGTGACAGACAAAACTGTTTACTACATTAATTTTGTTATCGCTAGTGCTCTGAGTTCTGTAGTTGTGTTGTAGAGCTGCCATATCGGGAGCCATGTGTGAAGTGGTACAAAAGAACATAGATTTGGGACCTCTACCAATCAGACCACATGTATCTCAATTATTCTATAAAATGTGACAATCAACTTACTTGCTGCATCTATAAATTGGTTGTACAACTCAAAGGTAATAACAGGGATTGGAAGCATGCGGAAATACTGTTTCAGTGTTCCAGAAATGATGTTTATGTCCTCATATGCCGACAAACTAACAGACTCTCCATCTAGAATAAGAAGAACAAGAAACAGCACTTGACGCAACGATCGTACTGATTCAGTGATCATAAAATTGCCAGCATGCAGAAGTTTCCCTCAGACTTTGTAAAGGTACTGTAAATAATTATAGCCAAACGATGCCACAAACGACTCTTTCTAAGTCCCATTTCTGTACACCACTAATTGTGACATAGGTACGTGTATTCGCAAAATTTCAAAGCGGGGACAAATGGTACAAAAAGTTCCAGAAAATCTGGAAACTGTTGAATTTCAGAAAAAGTGAACCATTCAACAGAAAATTCTGGGAGGAAAGTCAAATGGACCAGTAATTCCTGGAAAGAAATTTTGCAAAAATTTTGGTATACATGTACCTCTCAAGACTGTCCTCTTTTCCAGAAATTCCAGAACATGATGTTCCATTCACAACTGGAAATTTCTGGAAATGCGAACTGGAATTTTGGTCAAATGGAAAGCGCCTGAAGATCAAACTATAATTATTATTTTTAAGGTTGAAATACAAACTAAGTACTATTTAGTTTAAATTTCAGTTATATTTGAAGCAAATAAAGCTTGAGCAATCTAAACAAAGGTGTTTTACCTTTGTCAAAAGAATTTTTAAGTGCTTCAACATCATCGGCAAAACCTGATATTCTATAGATTCCCTCACTATCTAAACCTGTAAGGAACAAAAATGTGCATCAGTCCAATAACCAAACAGTCCACTCAAAAATTTATGCCCCCCCTTCCATTACAACATATAAATGTTCTGATAAAGTTTAGCTCCACCACAGACCAGTAAATTAGCAAAAAAACCCTGAAAATTATTTTTTCTCGAAACAGAGAAGTCAATACAAATATCATATCATGAGGCATTTAAATTCCCCACGAAATTAGGAGCTCCGATTGGTTAAAGAAAGGCATTAATTATTTGTAATATTTATTGCTGGTAGTTGAGGTTCTGCCCATTTCATGTTGCCAGACATCTGACATCTTTTTCTAAGATTTTTGCACAGCTGTACTCTCAGTGATTGTAAAATTCACCAACATTAACCTTCCCAACTGAAATATACATCTACTTGTCTCATTGACCAACACATAAATTTGTTAAAAGTAAGTTACCTCGCTTGTCGACCTCCGCAATACAAGCTTCTACAACAAAAGGCCTCTTGGTGTTGTGGAGTTTCACAAGTGTAGTCAAGTCAACACCAAACACTGTAATACATAAATGTAATAAACACATGCAAGACCAACACACAACCTTTATGGGATGTTTTCCCATTATAATTGTACATGTACTGTATCTATGGCTTCTTTAAGGGGTGGCGAATGGTAAATGCGAGACTTTGTGAGACGACGAGATTAGCGTTTTTCTTTGTGAGCCCAAGACATTTTGTGAGACCCGTGGTTTTTGAAGGACCATTCGCCACCTGTTCTTTAATAAGCACTTAATGACTGGCCCCACGGGAAACAGTTAGTTTTGTTTGCCTGAGACCCTCAATGATGCCCAAGGGCAACATTGAGGGTCTAGGGAAACAAAACTCACTGTTTCCTAGGGACAGTCATTAAGTGTTTTGTCATACCTCCCAACTAAAATATGGGACAGACGGAGAAAAAATTATTTGCTTGACACCAGCTGTTGTTACCCTAGGGAGTTAGTGAGTTCTGACCCTTGACACCTGACATGTTGTCCTCTTATTGAAAAACATATCTGAGTTGGGAGGTATAACAATAGAGAGATTAAGCATGACATTGTGTCAAACAGCAAACGGCAAAAATAAAACTTTTGCTGTCTGTCTTCAGCTGTCTGTGCAATATCTAGAGTGAAAATATTTGTATTTGTGGTGAATAGCAGGAGACATTTTTCTCTTTTTGTGTGATTTATTTAAGGATTAGAAGAAAAGAATAAAAATTCGAAGGTAATATTTGCAGTTTGCAATCTCCCGTAAATGTCATGCTTAAGCTCTCTAATGTTGTCTGAAACGCGAAAGAAACCTACTGTTCTTTTTCTTCGAACACTTATCTACAACATGGCCCTACAAGAATTAACACTTTACTTCCTAAAATAATACAATAAATGTAAATAATAATATTGTTTGTAACATCATAATATCATGCAAATATATAGTGGTACTTAGGATGCGTGGTGGCCTTATGATTAGTGTGCTCCCAACCTGATCAAACAGTCAGGGTTTGAGCCCTGGCAAGGGACATTGTGTTGTGTTGTGTTCTTGGTCAAGACACTACTCTCAAAGTGGCTCTCTCCATCCAGATGTATAAATGGGTAGTGGCAAATTTAATGCACGGGGTCACCTTGTGATGGACTTGCATCCCATCCAGGGCAGAAGGGGGGGAGAGGGTGGGAGTAGAAATATTCCTAGTCGCTTCATGCCACAGAAACCCGAATAAGCTCTGGGCTAATGGGCCACTTGGCTAGTATGCAGACTACCTTTTACTTTTAAACATGCTTTGCAACATGGTACTGCAAGAAATTACCACTTTACTTCCTAAATAAATAAAATAAGTAAATGTAAAATAATAATTGTTTGTACCATCATAATGTCACATGTGCAGCTACAGTGGTACATAAAATAAATACCTCTTCTGACATATTTCTTGTCAGGTTGGCAATTATCTTGAACGACAACGCTGCATTGTTTATGCGCATTAAACCCACAATCTAACACAAATCAAGAAGAACACAAAATCTTATGGTTAACAGCAGAGATTTCAACACATGCAGTTACAACAGGAGTTGACAGCTGCAAAATGTATCTGTATCAACATTAGGGGCTGTCTGCTGTTTTGATGTAGCAAAAAATCCTAAGAAATAAAAGAAAAACATGTACTGTGTTTCTATCAAGTTAAAGAAACGTGAGCAGAAGTTTGGGAGAATGAGAAATGCTGTGGGAATACGAGCCGACAGGTGAGTGTTTCCATACCTTTTTGAGTTCTCCCAAACTTTCACTTGACATAATGTGTTTCTATTAGCTCAGCTCGTTTCTATGGCATTACAGAAACACAACTTTAAGCCAATCAGCATGTGCATTTTCTTTGGGCTATTTCCTAAAAACTGCTGTACATATCAGCACAGATAAGCTTTAAAGCTGTGACCTTACCTTGACATTTTACTCCTTGCATAATCAACCCCCATAAAAAGTTACGACAAAAGTCACACCAATGAGGTCCTTTGAATGTGTAAACCTGTCAATCAAAACACACCTTGGAGTTAACTGGTGAAGAAACTGACAAAAATTTTGAAGGCTTCAAGTTGTTGTGTAGATAGCCCAGATATACTGAATCATATAATTTTTGCTTTTGTCCTCAACTCTTTTTGCACTCAAGAGACATGCCAGACTTAATGCAAAAAGTTCTACAAGTCAGAAGGCTGACATGTTTGATAAAAAATGTACAGTGTAGGCTCTCAAAAAGAAATGGTGCATTTTGTGCAAAAATTCAAGATCAAGACTGACAACTGACAACTCATGGGAGCCAAATGTATGCAGCAACATATGCCAAATTACAGTTTTCCAAATGTTGTGCGTTGTTCTGTAACCTAGCGTAAGTGATTTGTGCAAGTAAGCAAAATTTAATAGCGTATTGTAAGTGAGTAATGTAACATAATGCATTGTAAGTGAGGTAATGTAATGTATTGTAAGTGATGTTCGCAAGTAATATAGCATGTTGTTTAAGTAATTCAGTAATTTCATGCAACGTTTTTTGAGTAGGTAATGTTTTATGTAGAAAGTAATGTTTGTAAGTAATGTGGCACACTGTAAGTATGTAAATATGTAAAATAACACTTTGTAAGTGATAGTACTGTTGTAAATTGTAAGCTTTTTGTTGTAAGTATTCTGTCATTGTAATGTAATATATGCCGTGTAAATAAATAAACATAAAAAAANCAACCTCCTTCTGTAAAATGGCTGCCATTAAGACAAATTTGGTTGCCAAAATGAAAGCTTTTTCAAAGGACACTTTGTGTCATTAAACATAAGGCTTCGATGAGCCATGACAAGACCACATAGAAATTGTTCAAAGAATATTCTGATGCCATTAGTTTTCGTTTGCAACCTTAATTTTCTTGTTTGTTGAACTTTCTTGGGGTGAGTTCCTTTGGGGTGATCTAGATCAGGATCAGTGATCCAAGATCTGTCTGGATCATGGTGCATCAAAGTAAATGATGAATCCACCCACCCTTAACTACTGTTCAGGAAAACAAATTAAAGAAAAAAGAAACAGGTAAGGAAGACAAATATGTAAAAATAAACAGTGGTTGAATTCATTTGGCTTAGTGACTATACCACAAAACCCGTGTTGTTGAGCAGTCAGCCATTTGCTCTCCGCTTGTACATTGTAAGTTACCAAATTACCCAAGTTCATGGTAACACTTTTGTGAGTTTAAAAAGTGATTTGAGAGAGATCTGTGAGAGGATAAATACTGGCTAAAGGTAGGTCCGTATAGTTAAAAAAACATGACCTCAGACTTGAAAATTTTGCCCTTTGCCATAGGCCTTGGACAGCATTTTCAACACCTCTGTCAGAGTTTTTCACTACACTGACCACCCAGCTGGCAAATAACATATGCTTATTGGCATTTTTATTACAGTTATTCTGATGAGATACTAAAAATCCTTATGGATATAAGTGAAATGAGAACATAATAAAAAAAAGTAATAATAATACATAAAAAATTATGCCATACAATGTATATGTATACCCTGAAAACCTGTAGCAATATTTAAAATAGAAGTCGTGACAATGACACTGTCATTGGCAATTTTTGGAAAGGACTTGCCAATAAGGAATTTTCTGAGTGCATTAAGATCTGTTGCAGCTGCATTAGAAGATTGAATAGTAAAGGAAAACAAAATCGTTAACAGCAAACTTACGATAACACATAGTTTGATAATGAACTGATAATCTGGCAAGTTAAAGAAGTGACCACTTTGTTTACAATCATGTTTATATGTACTTCTGGAATTAACTTGCATTACAAAATGTTTATTTTTTTTTCCGTAAAAATACTCTTTGGTAGCCATTTCTCCAAACAAGTCTTCTTAAGAACGATATCAAAATTTCAATATCTTGGAGCTAATCTTTCATGAAGAATAAGACTTCCTGTTTTTAAATGAGAACTTTTATCAAAGATTTAATATCAACATTAGATAAAAAAAAAAAAAATTATTATTAGGCAGGAATAAAATTGCCTATAATCTGTACTAACGTGGAAATAAGGAGAAATCAGTTCTCAATGTCCACTCTTGGAAAAAAAAAAATGTATTCAGCACATATTAAATTGTTCAACCTATCATCACTCAATGGCTTCAAGCAATATATGTGTGTAGTCTCACATACCAAGTAAATTGTAAAGTCAAATATTTACAATGGATATCAAATGCAGTTACAGTATTATCAACCTTAAAATGTTTGAAATGGTTTTACAGGATGTACAATGTTCGTAGTATGTACTATTTATGATAAATGGTAATGTTAAGAATTGGCCCACATTACTGTACAGAAAAACACAAAAACATACAGAATAAAATAATAAAAATCTATACAAAAATCTTTCTAATTTTTCGTTCTATTTCTGCTGGAAGACACAAAAATATAGCAGACTGATCAGATTTGACTCAATATGAAAGGTAACTTACACAAAACAGTGAAGACATCTCTAAGCTTGGTATTTAACAAGATAAAAAGAAATTTACATACTGACAATAACATCCTTAATGTAATCCACAAGTACTCTCATACATTATGTGATTTATCTTATGTGTTGTGAGGAATTATCAATTGTGAAAAGACTTGAAGGAAATTTGAGTCCCTGCCTTCTATTTCTAAATCCTAATTATAAAGCTTGTGAGACAGTAAATCTCAAAACTAAAAAGAAAATTATGGAGAGCATCTTCAGCTTCATTTTCAGATGAATAGTGAATTTTGTTTGCATAAATAATGACAAAGCTACGGTTAGCCCAAACAAAGAACACAGAAAACTGTCTTAAACAGTCCAAAGTTCGGCCTTATCCACTCTAAACCCATGCAACAATCAGCAGAAAATACAGGGCCATCATGACAAAAACTTCAAATTAATGAAGCTGAAAATTAAATCTTAAGTTCCTGACAAACTAAAAAAAAAATATATGAGATAAAATCATGATAAACAACATCACGATAATAAATTCATACCTGGTTTTTCACTGATCCATCTTCAGTATCCTTAGCTATCTCGTTATTTTCTTTACTTCCATCATCGACTGCTTTTCCTTCGTCTTTCTTTTCCTCTGCTTTCACAGGACTGATCATCATGGTGTCAACATAGTCCTTGGCGTACGTATCGATGTACATAGTGATCAAGCCATCCGCCACAAGATCCTGAATGGTCTGAAAACGTTTCTCTCCTAAAACAAAACAAAGCTGGGTGTGATTCCCATTTACATATCAGCAGCTGTGTGTATGTACATGTACATCACTGTACTACAGCTCAAAGAGAATGAAGAGTCCCATAAGCTTTCATATGGAAAGCGGGCTCCCACTGAGCAAGGCTCGTAAAAAATAATATAAATGACAAGTTTTGAATAAAGCCAACCCCCAAGGAAGCTTCCACAAAAGAATTAGATTTTTTAGTTTTATTTTTACTGAAAGGTAATTTTTAGCAGCTGATTCCAAGAATAAAATCTTAAACTGGAGCATGACTTTAAAGTAATTTTTTCAGCTGAGACAAAAATGAATAAAAATGACTGAGAATTATTTCATTACAAAAATGATCACATTCATATACATGTACAAAAATAAATTTGTACATACATAAACACACCAAACACTGGCATTTCAGGTGTTGTGGTTTTGTCAAAAACGTTTTGCTGCTAACATTGTTAGTAAATCAGCCAGTCATTCTTACATGTAAAAATCAGAACTACGCAAAAATATCTACACTATGTAATGACATTGTATGCATTCAACAAAATCCATGTTTTGAGTTTTAAGGTGAAATGAATAAAACCTACAGTTGCTTGTAATAATATTGCTAACCAATGCTTTGCACCATTAATGATTAATTACTACAAACACAACCTAAATTTGGGTGAACTTTTATTGGGCAATAGTTTGACTTGTTAACAAACTTGTCTTGTATGCTTTTATGCTTAAACGAACTCCGTTTAGCTTGTACTTAATAAAGGATTCTCACTTGATTCTTAAAACAAAAAAAACCTATTATAACAGTTACAGTATTTCTGGTAATCTTCAATTTATTTTCTGATAAAAATGTTTCAATGACACTGTATGCATGTGCATATATGCAAATTTCAGATCATTGATATTAAGGAAACCACAAGCCCAAAAGAAACACAGTGTTCAATAAAAAACCGACCCAAAACAATTTAAACTTGCAGTACATTACAACATAGATTTCTTTCGTTTAAAAATTGAGTAAATGTAGTCAGGAATTGACATAACCGATAAAAGTGCCGTTTTTTTGTCACTGACTTGTATATTTTAGTAAGACGTTTCGGCTAACTCTTAAGCCTTCATCAGTTGAAAAAACCACTTGATGTTACGCACACTTGAACTCCACTTGAACTGCCGTGCCGCGTCTGGACATTATGGTGTCACATAGTCATCCCTGAAGTCTACAAGTGCTTAGCACGCACTTAACATTCTCTTGAGTCACGCGCAACGTTTCAATTTTAAAAAGTTTTTAAATCGCACGTAACATCAAGTGGTTTTTTCAACTGATGAAGGCTTTAGAGTTAGCTGAAATGTCTTGCTAAAATATAAAAGTCAGTGACAAAAAATGGCACTTTTATCGATTATAGATTTCTTTAATCTGAGGAATATTATTAAAGGATTTTCATTTCACATTTAATAAATGCCATTAAAGAAATTTCTTAAGATGCCATTCAATTTACAGCCAAAATTTAATAGAAAACAACCATAAGAAAACAACCTTAAAGCACCTAGGGGCTTCCAGAGCACAGCCCTGCTACTGACAGTAAATCAAATCTTTCCAGTACACAAACATAACATGAATTCTAATTTCTCAAGTCAAACAATTTCTTTCAACGGAAACAGCTGGACAGGTTTTTTTGTTTCATTCAAAACTATGTTTACTTCTAAGGCATCTTTCACAGAGGATTAGCAAGTTAGCCAGAACAAGCATTGTACAAAAACAAAGCTCAATAATTAGCATAATTTGTTTACATTCTGTGATGAACAAAGTATTATGTGTAGTATGGTAATTGACATGTCGCAAAGTTACCAATTACGGTACATGTACATGTATGATCTACACAAAGCTGTGGTCAAAGAAAAATTACGAGGAACCCAAAGGTTCCTAACCACAAAATCCTGGGTGCCCAGCACTTAAGCTTATATGAAAAAAGTAAGTTTTTTCACATGCCCTAAGGCAACGGTTAGTTGCCTGTGGCACCCAGGTGCTTCCAGAGCACAGCCCTGCTACTGACAGTATCATAATTTAGCAAAAGTAATACTAAAGGTGGATTGCAGCATGACTAGCATGGGGTACTCTTTCACCTTTCCTTTAGACTGGTGAAAATGTATATGTTGTAGTTAAAATGAATCTCAGGTCAAAATGATTTCAAACTAGTTTGATTTGTATTTCTTTCATTTAAGGAACATGGTAATAAATCTGGAACAAAGGAACATACAAATCAAACTAGTTTAAAATCATTTTGACATGAAATTCATTTTAAACTACAACATATACATGTTCACGTACATGTAACTATTGAAATTAGGTAAGAATTCAAGTACTGCAAAAGTTCAAATTTGTTAACTACCGGTTGGTAGACAGTAACAGTGGCCCAACAATGCCACAATAATTAATTTTTGATGATAATCCCATTTCCTGTTTTACAAAATAATCTTGGGTATGAGGCACAGAGAGCCTAACTGTGAACAATTGGACATATTAATAAATTCTACTTGCCTAGGCCCTAGACCAAACCAACAGTTATTTCTTTGTGTACACCACAGGTGTATGTGCTTTAAGTAATATATCAAACACGAAAGGCTGTGTTTGACCACATTTTCAAACAGCGAGAAGCAAGTTGAAAACTTGACGTGCAGTGGAGTATTTTTGATGAACTTCAAGGTGTTTTGAAATGTGGTCAAACACTGTCGTGAGTGTTTGATATATCTCCTCAAACGAAAGTAAAACTAAGGAGAAAATGGAGAAATAAAATGGTAAAATCTATGTAAATCAAGATCAGATATCCAAACACTGTCGCGGTCATGATTTTCTTTGTTTAAACTAGATGAATCATTGAGTTTGAGAATAATAAATACAGCACATCCAGTGTTTCCGTGACATTTACCACTGAGAACCGGAATACTTTACTAAATATAAATATTCAGTAATACTTACCTACGTAATGTAGCCCATCGTAGTACAATCTAAAGTTCTTAGAAACTCCACCAAATCTTGAAAAATGGAAAAATCAACACGTAAGGGGAAACTAATCTACAGTTGTACATTGTCAGTAGTGTTTTCAATAAGACCTGACACCCACCAGATCTCCAGCAGGGTAGTGTGTTTTGAATAATCAGCTTTATTAAAAACTGGATCATTGGATAATGCAATTCGAGAGTTTTCATTGGCAATCATGGGTTATGAGCCATTATACCATGCTCTACAAATATGCTAAGCGTACAAGTAAATTTTTGAGGCATTTGTATCTTTATTTCAACCTAGTTTTCTATAATTTTGGGGTGTTAAAACAATTATTCCACTTGCGCTTGTTGCATATGAGATGATCATAACCAATGAGGTGCCCCCGTTGGCTATCTACCGTCTCATATCCAAAACAAGCTTGTGGAATAACTGTTCATTATAACATGGCAGAGTAGTCTTAATGTAAATCTGAGCGTTCTGATTGGTTCTTTCTTGATCAGGATTTTGCCACACAGACAGTTTCCATGGAAAAGGTGATAACTTGTGTATTTTTTGTTTTAGAGTGCCATATTGTAAACTAATCACTAACTTAGCTTGCTCAAGCCATACTGGAGAATATTGGTTTTTGGTTGTTTATTTAAGTGTACCTTGCTGCGCTTGGTCCCTACCACAATGAACTCAGTATAGCGCTCATACTTGGTTAGTAAAAGGTTATTTAACATTAAGAAGTTTTCAAAAATTGGCCCTCTAAAGAAATTTGTTGTTGGTCTCTCAAGGCTACTTGGTATAAGAACAATCATGAGCAGTCAAAAGACTCTTAGTATAGGTAATTATATGGTTCCGAGTTCAATTTGGAATTAACTTGCCCGAGTGAGTTTTTCAAAAAGCTGAAACTGCACAAGCCGCTTCGGCGAGTTAAATTTCAGCTTTCTGAAAAACTCAGTTCTAAGTGCAAATTAATTCCAAATTGAATGAGAAAAACCGTATGATTACTTATTAATAATATAAACATGAAAAAAATTGCATGGAGGAAGTGCCGGAAGATCCTTCTTGAAGCCATTTTTCTCATTTGTGGAAAATTTTTTCAAAGTTTCCACATAAAATTTTTGTCATCATCTCACTTGATATCATTGGCTTAGAAAATTTCCTATTATCTTTCAGCCAATTATAATCCAGAATTACGATGTGTAATTTGCACTGGAGTTACACTTTTTGCACTGGTGTTACACTTGAACTGCACTGCTCTCAGCCAATCAGAATCAAGTAATTTTTTTCATGTATAATTATTAAACATGAAATCCCGGATGCCCAGCACTTATGATAAACTGGTTATCATCCTGCCCAGGACTCAGAATTGTGTCCTGCAGTTGAGTGAATTCATGCAGAACTTTACTTTAATCATTTACATGTATGTGCTCATCTACTAAATACTTTGTCAAAAATTTGCCATGGTAACTAAAAATATTTACCTCATAGTTAGAGTGTAACTTCCTGGTGACCTCTGACTTTCCCGCACAAGATAACAGCCATCAGCCTCTGATACAAGGTCATCAGCTTCCTCGCGTGATATGCAGCCATGAAATCTGACAAGGATGCAATAAGTGAGTTCTAAACTTCATCTTCCTTTCCACAAAGACGAAGGCTGCAGAGTCATGAAATTCCAGTTGATGTTTTGCCAGCTCAATGATATTACTTTAGTTTTATAAAGAAAGACAGCCAAAAACAATTTAATAAAACTTACTCTTTTCCATAGTGAGCAGGCTTATGGGGAATCTATGAAGCAAAAGAAGAAAGAACGCAATATTATTATACATGTCTGGTACATGTACGGTCTTCCTTAAAATCAAGTTTTGATTTACATGCATTGTTAATTTAGATCTTCTTAAGTTGCTGATTACTCAAACTGGAATTACTGAGATCACACAGTTCCATAAAAAAATTGTAAAGAAAACCAATGCAAGGAGTATTTGTTTTCTGCTCAGATAAAATGGTTACAAAACTATGTCATATCACTCAGAGGAACTGAGCTTTTTTATTTTGATTTTTTGGTCAGCTGTCAAAGTTGAATACATACATGTGTGTATGTGAAAATTTGGAAATCATACCACAACACAAACAAATAATGAACTTGTTGCTTTAAAAAAAACAAAATAAAAAAAAAGTGCAAAGCAAAAAATAATATAAAGAACATACATGTCATACTCATGACATTGCCTTCTGTAGGATCCAAAGAAATAAATTTGTAAGAATTTGATCTCTCAAGGTACACAAGTTTGCTTTTTCCTAGCTAGGAAAAAAATTAATTGGAATATTTTTACAATCTATTTTGACAGTTGTTGCCAATCATATCTATCAACTTTCCAAGGCAATTTCCTCCCAAGATGTAATAATAACATACTGATATATTGTAATTAAGGTTTTTTTTTTATATAATTCCAAACTGATTTGAAATTATGTCTCCCATTACTTTTTCTTTCAGGGTTGCAAATAACATTTGGAAATCGGACATTCAATGCTGTACCAATCTATGTCTGACCAAACTTTGCAAATGTCAGTGAGTCTAGGCATTAAAGATGACAGTATGACGCCAACCACATCTTCAATACCTCTTCAGCCAAATGAAGGTTCGCAAGACAAATTTTCTACTTATTGAAAAATAAAAATGATTCCTTTGTGAAGCATCAAATTAAATAATTTCAAATTAGTATGACTTTGGGTGAGGGAAAGATTGCCTCCTGTAGTATCCAAAGAAATAAATTTTTAAGAATTTGATCTCTCAAGTGGTAAACTTAAAACAAGAAAAATAATTCCAACTTTCCAATGAATATTCCTTATGCCAATCAGTGAACTACTTCAATCTGTTTATAACAGCATTGGCATTATTTAAAATGTCAAGTAAATTTACCAATAAGAGACAGATTGCTGATTGCATCAAAATGATAACTCATATTTGCAATAAAGCGTGTACATAACAAAATTTGGGAGTGGCATTTTCAATTTTCTAACAATAAATTTATTTGATTCTTCGTAATGACCTTTTCAATTGCACCTACCAAAAATGGTCACATGTCATAATAAGTGATAATTCTCACCATAGTTTCATTTCACAGTGCAAGCTTAGCATTCGACCATAAAAAAATGTATATTATTTTATCAAAAGGGTGTGGAAACCTTTCAAAATCAATTCGTTTAAACTGAAACAGGTGTCACAAGGCATTGAATTTCAATTAGTCACACAACATGTTGACTTCAAGATTTCTCCTTTAAAATTTAATTTCTAATCACAACACTTTCACGTCTTGAACATGCAGATACACGCAAAAAAGTTCCCTACCTCTTTTGAACAAACAATTCTTCTCGCTTTGGGAGCCTTTTGCTGTAGTCGATACACTGTAATCAAATACAAAAGCTAGTTTTTCACAATCTTCTAAATATACGTTTTGTCCCTTTCAGCATGAAATGGATTTTACAGTGGCAACAACGTCCTCTAAGATCAATACCACGTCTTTCTCTTTGCCAAAAAAAAGTATTGTAAGGGGACTTACGGTACGATTTCCATACTGGCTGTTCAATTGTGTCGTAGAAGCGACCTTCGCCCGCTTGTTCTAAAGTTTCAGAAAGAAAAATTAAGACAGCGCATAAATAAACATACATGTATTACGAAGGAGCACTTGAAGATGTCTGACCCATACAAAGAGGGTAATAGTCAATAGATAAAAAGATTTAATACAACGTCTACTGTTAACTTGAATTACTCGTGAAAACCTTTAAGTGAAGACATGATTCCTCTTTCAAGACGATAACCCTTGGTTTAAAGGCCAAAGAAGCTTACAAGCATAATTATACAGTTACAGTCGTAGAAATGTAGTGGTTCCGCGCCAAAACTGTCGTCATATTGACAAATTGCACAGATCACAAGTTTTCAAACCTTCGTCTATTTACAAACAGTCTGCTTACCTTCTGTCATGTTTGTTTACCCAGCTGATGAACTTTTGTTCAGTCGCCCTTCAGCTCGAATTCTTGAAGAGTTTCAGCATAGTTACTAACTATGCTCGCGATGGGGTGTTTTAGTTTCCGCGATTCAAGCGAACATATGCCCGCATCACTCCATTCACTCTCCCACTAAACCACCTACGGTTCAATAGTACAAGAGAAAGATTCGAACGTCAGAAAGCCCTGGGAAGGAAGTTCATGGGTTTTTCGACGTGATGAGACACTTACCGGATGAAACGAAAGGTCCTTTTATAGACAAGCTAGTAAAGAAAGATCAAGACAGCTGATTTTCACAAGCCCCCTGTTCGCCTTGCCCATTTTTTAGAGTCGTCTATCAGTATGTGCAGCTGGTCAGCGGAGTGAATGTTACGTATAGAAACGAGGGTCGAACGGGAGTGAAAACGAGGCTGAGTGATAAAGCAAGGACGTCACGAAAGGCAGAGGTCGACGTGTTCCTTGAAGGTAGGGAAGCACGCAATTTGTTTTCATGTAAATATTTTGTGTTTTGGACGTATGTCCCCGGCTGCACCAGCTGGAGGTCGACTACTGATTCGACTATACTTTAGATATGTTGGGGAAGACAGTAGCATTACATAAAATATTGGTCAATCTTCGCCCAGGGGAGACCTAAGTTACCGCTCTCAAAACATGCTTATTCATTTCAAAAGAAAGAAGGGATACTGTAAGATTTTTTCGAGGGTACAAGAGATTTCTCTACTATTAACGGGAACCTTACACAGAAAAGTTTAGAAAATGAGCGAATTTATTGACGATCGTTGATGGGGACGTTGGAACAACACACTCTTTGGTTAGTCACGCAACGCTCGTCTCGCTAGCTCTGCGCAGAACGTGACGGTTCCCGGAGATGGCTTCGCTCAGAGAATCGAGAGTCCGTCCCATCAGCGGTCGCCATCCTACTGTTTGAGATTTCAAACAGATTGCTGCTCTTTTAATTTGACGCGCATCAGACATCGAAATGAAGCAAAGTTTTATACAATTAAATCACTTTGTCGAAAAAAGATTTGCTTACGAACAGGGCATACATACATGCTTACACTATATTTAAACACGGTAAAAACATAAGTTGCAAGATTGAGGTAGAAAATGAAAACCTGATTCGCATGTTTGTCGTATGGGGGTCGAATACAAGGAGGATGTTAGGTGATTGATCTCATTTTTAAAGTTAATCAACCATCTAGTGGCTGTGGCGTTAAATAGAAAGCTATTCCTCAAGTTTGGCCCACTCATAGGCCCACTGTAGTAGAAACTACGTTTTGGATATCGGTACGGAGCTTGCGCAGACTAATTCGTGAGGAGTGTATATATATATCAGGTTGCATTTATGTNATGAACTTTTGTTCAGTCGCCCTTCAGCTCGAATTCTTGAAGAGTTTCAGCATAGTTACTAACTATGCTCTCGATGGGGTGTTTTAGTTTCCGCGATTCAAGCGAACATATGCCCGCATCACTCCATTTACTCTCCCACTAAACCACCTACGGTTCAATAGTACAAAAGAAAGATTCGAACGTCAGAAAGCCCTGGGAAGGAAGTTCACGGGTTTTTCTACGTGATGAGACACTTACCGGATGAAACGAAAGGTCCTTTTAGAGACAAGCTAGTAAAGAAAGATCAAGACAGCTGATTTTCACAAGCCCTCTGTTCGCCTTGCCCATTTTTTAGAGTCGTCTATCAGTATGTGCAGCTGGTCAGCGGAGTGAATGTTACGTATAGAAACGAGGGTCGAACGGGGGTGAAAACGAGGCTGAATGACAAGGCAAGGAGGTCACGAAAGGCAGAGGTCGACGTGTTTCTTGAAGGTAGGGTAGCACGCAATTTGTTTTCATGTAAATATTTTGTTTTTTGGGTGTATGTCCCCGGCTGCACTAGCTGGAGGTCGACTACTGATTCGACTATATTTTGGATATGTTGGGGGAGACAGTAGCATTACATAAAATCTTGGTCAATCTTCGCCCAGGGGAGACCTAAGTTACCGCTCTCAAAACATGCTTATTTATTTCAGAAGAAAGAAGGGATATTGTAAGATTTTTTCGAGGGTACAAGAGTTTTCTCTACTATTAACGGGAACCTTACACAGAAAAGTTTAGAACATAAGTTGCAAGATTGAGGTAGAAAATGAAAATCTGATTTGCATGTTTGTCGTGTGGGGTCGAATACAAGGAGGATGTTAGGTGATTGATCTCATTTTTAAAGTTAATCAACCATCTAGTGGCTCTGGCGTTAGATAGAAAGCTATTCCTCAAGTTTGACCCACTGTAGTAGAAACTACGTTTTAGATATCGGTACGGAGCTTGCGCAGACTAATTCGTGAGGAGTGTATATATATATCAGGTTGCATTTATGTTGAAAATGATTGTACTATACCTTTTTACATACGTTATTTATCTCTTTAGATCTGCGATTGCAAGCCGGGTTTCTTAGAGCTTCTGCAATGGCTGACACTGTTCTGAACAGCATGTCGTCCAATTATTTGACACTCGGTGGTGCCACACTTCTGTTTATTTTCCTCGTTGTGTTATTTTTGTACTGGTATGGAACTTGTGGATTCTCCGTCTTGAAGAAAATGAACGTGCCCGGTCCAGTACCCCAACCCTTTGTTGGTAATATTCCAGAGCTAAAGAAGTACCAGGGCATTCACTTGATGATGCTTGACTACACCAGAATATATGGCAAGGTATTTGCCATTTCCTTGGGTAGGAAACCCTCAATTGTTATCGCAGACCCAGAAGTGCTAAAGCAAATCCTGGTAAAGGATTTTTCTAATTTTCGTAATCACCACATTCCTGGGAAACCGCCAGCTCGGTTCAGGCGGAGCATATTTGCCGCACGCGATGACTATTGGAAGAGAATCCGCAACATGTTGACTCCCACGTTCAGCGCGGGAAAGATGAAGTTTATGGTGCCATTGATTGAGAAGTCGTGCGATGTTTTGTTGGAAAAAATTGAGACAATTGCCAATACTGGTGAGAGCATGCATAGTTCTTGAATTTAGAGAGAGTCAGTTAATTTTAGAAACGGTCTTTGAAAAGTCCTCGAATTCTTGAACAACCCTTGAGTTTTAGCGAGTGTTTGAAAAGTTTTGA